CGAAGATCTTACGATTCATCTTGAGATTGTTATCAGATGTGTATCTCTCAAAAGGCGTCCGCAACAATTAACACGTGCGATCGTTGTCCGCGTTGCGATCGAAATGAGCGATTACAAAAATTCGCCCGCCGCCCGCACCTGTCTCAGTCCCCTTTGTCGTCATACCCCCACGCCCCTGTTACCGCGCAGGCGAGGACTTAGATAAACGGTCGGCCTATAGTATTCAATACCTGTTGTACTATAGAATGTTATTTTATAACTAGCTGAGACCCGCGGTGTTACCTGCGTTTGTTGTTATAACCGCGGGCAACGGGGCGGGGCGAAGCTAGTCTAAAAAAGTAGCCTAAGTTACTCCTTATGTCATCAGCTATCTGCCAGTGAAAGTCGCGTCGAAATCGGTCCAGCCGTTCCAGAGATTACCCAGAACAAACAGACAGACAGACAAAAATTGTAAAAAATGTTATTTTGGCATATGTACCGTGTAAACATACATATGCATTTAGTAAAAAGCGGTTATTTTAATATTACAAACAGACACTCCAATTTTATTTATTTATATGTAAGTAATATGTATAGAAGATAATACCTGAATGGTTAATGTAATTTTTAAGCAATAAAAAATATTATTATTATTGCCTAGACCACCCTTATATCATCATCGAATCATATGAGCTCAAATGCGATGTGTTTACTATAAGTTATTTATTAGCTAATAGTAAAAGTTTCAGTATTCACCTCCTCGTATAGTCATCGGATTAGATTCAAGATGCGGAGTTAAAAATACATGTAAGTGGATACAAAGTTAAAATTATCTTTCAAACTGTTTTGCATTGTTAATTAGCTACAAACGAAAAAGCGTAATTGAGCGTATAAAAAACGTCTTATCTAGGGCCAGAGCGACTTCCCTGGTGGCTAGGTGCGTAGCCTCTTGAAAATTCGCCCCCCGAGCTGTAACTAGCGTGCCATCGGCGTAACAAATAACGTCCAGCCCGGGTAGGAGGCGACCTCGATGGGCCCAGTCGTAACCCATGTTCCACAGGACTGGTGCGAGGACGGTGGTACGCTCCTCTAAGTAGTCTGCCACTAGCCGCCTCAGGTACTCTGGCACCCCATGATAGTGGAATGATTCCCTGATGCACCTGAACGGCAACCTGTTGAATGCGTTGGCGATGTCCAACGACACAGCCAACAGCACGTCGCCACAGCTAACCGCCTCTTCGTTCACGGACCTGAGGCGCAACACAGCGTCGACCGTCGAACGCCCCGTGTCCCGAGTCTGGAGTAATCGAGGATCAGAAATCCCAATTCCGTCAGGTCCTCGTGGAGGAGTGAAAGGAACGACTTGGACAACCGAGCGCAGGGCACGCCGTTAACGCGGCAGTAAGACCCTTTAAGCGAGGGAGCTAAAGTTACGAGATTCTGAAAACCTCGAATGGGAAACTGGACTGAAACTTTAATATATCGAAGATATCGGGGTCGCGAATCTATACAATGCTGTGATTGGGGAGGTCATTATGACGGGAAGATCTGTGTGTTGGAGTCTGAGCATACACCGTCGATAACGACCTTGATGCTGCTGTCTACAAGACAAATACTGGTGACCCAGTTGTACAGATTCTCGGGAGCTCTATAGAAAGGAAAAAAAATTGATTACCAAACCCGATTGAAGGCTTTCGCTATTTCTGAACTAACCGCTTATATCTTTCTTTTAGTATCGATCACCTTACCTTACAAGTAAGTTAAGCATACGAGAAAATGCTGCTGATGATCATTGATGATTTCAAAATCAATTGTTTTTAAAGGACATGAAAACACTTGGAGACCGAATTATAGTACTTTTGTTTTAAGTCGTGTGGCAGATATAAAATAAAATCAGTTCTTAAATGTAGAATATAGGAGATACATCTGTTGCAATTTATAGGCTTGTCGATATGTCTGTTACTGTCCCATGTTATTGGCAATTTATAAGTGGAAAACACGAATGCATTAAATTATTAAGTGAGATATCGATTGGTACGGCCGTAAAGAGCAGTGGACTTAGATTGTTCCGTGTTACATATTCATTGTAAAGTCTAGACAGTATAAGCATTTCACATGGTTCCGTTCCGAGTAAAACTCTATAAATATATACTCGTAAAGGGATAATATTGGTTCGCAGTTTAAGTATAGCTTTTTTAATCGTTAAAGTTTTAAAAGTCTATATAAAATATATGTGGCGGTATATTAATAATACAGAGAAAATGACTAGGATATTTAAAGTATTATATTTTTTAAGAAATATTTTTATATCTACTTTTAACAAATGGAAATTTAACATAGTTGTCATACATATTTATAATACAATAAAATTTGTAGAAAACCTACTTTATCACGTGGTTCACATTGTAGATAATTTATTTTGAAAGTTGTTTATAATAATAAATTTATGTTTAGTTATTTACACATTTTGTCTATGTGGTCATATATCTTTGTACATACTTAATGATCGCATAACAATCGCTACTTCTGGATAATTTTAAATTACTACCAAGTTCGTGTAATAATATAAATAAATAAACCTGAATTAATAAAACATGACAAAAACTTAACTACATAGTGTTTGCCACTCCGAGCGTGGTTTCTTTATGTTGCATAAAAACGAAAATTTTCATAATTACCTGAATTTAGGGCCTGCAAAAGCTAGTTTTAATGAAAACGCAACGCAAAGTGCCACATGAGAACGCCTTGCGAAAGATTCGGCTGTCACAATCGTCTGATCCCAGATGAACTTTTAAATTATGATCTCTATTAATATAGTGGCACAGTGGCACTTTTTGTGACTACACTATTGTGCTAACTGTTGTAAGAAATTTTAATGCAGGATGAATAAAAATTATCAAATAAAACGCTTAAATGGAATTCTCATTGCGGGATCTACGTTTCAAGCTACCAGAGAGTGCGAGACCTCGTATATTATTGTTTTCAAATGGTGTTGTAACCTTTTCTTTTATTACTTTAAATTTTTAGTACTTTAGGGTATATTGGACTGGGTCTGGATGTCTTAATAACAACAGTTCCCGAATTTCTTCCATTACGTACGCAAAGTGGTACACCGTGTGGTTACAGTTGATCCGACTCCGACACACCACCTAAACACAAATACCGGTGGGATGGGGTTTTCACACGTAAATAAAAAAGGGTAAATTGAACCATAGAAATATATGTATTCAACTTATCCCTTGATGATCAAAATACTGATGATTGAAAATATATACTAGACCTATTATGATTTTAATAATAGTAAATTGACACATCTCACAAACGGCCGTCTGGTCCCCGTGCTAATATATTCCTAAATACATACACAACAATGGATAGTCTTCATTACAAAATTATTTATCCTGGGTGGGAATCCACTGACCTCTGGCTTGGTCGTCAGGGCTACTAACTACTAGACCAACAGGCCAGCCAATTCAAGTCAAGGCAATTGATTGATGATAAGTCCTGTGCCCAATAAGATAAAAGACTTTCCTTGCTTGCTTTTTTCCATTCAGATATACCAATTACATTTCATCATCACGTCGTCAAATGATTTTATAAATATACATTTTTAAGTAAATGTTTCTAAACTTGTATTGCGCGTTACATTTAAGTGAAATCAAACAAGAGATAAATTTCAAGCTTTGTTTTATTTCAATATTTTATACATTAATTTGGCAGTTTCCACTTTGTTGCAATTATAGAAAATCATAAAATATATAAAGGTTTCCTACCATTTCCTATAGTCACTAATAGTAACAATTTTAGAGCAAATAAATAACTTCAACTAGTAGATTAAAATAATTTAACAATAAGCATTTATTAGCAATCAAATAAAATTAAATTGGACTGAAATTCAGTATAACCTTATTAAGAGTTAGGCTCTTATTTGCATATATTTACATCTTTGCTTAGCTACAGAATGAAACGTATTGATTTAACTAGCTATAACTTGAGGTAAATTAATCTTTCATTCGCTTACAATTACACTTATAAGAAAAGAGTTAGAGAAGCTGAAGTCCTTTATTGATTTTTTTAAAAGAAAGTGCCTTTATTTTATTTTTAATATAAAATAATTTCACACAATCAGTGACTCTAATTTCAACTAATCGACTCATCCTTATGAGATATTTTCTATCACTGAGCTTTTCAATATATAGTTTAGATCAAACTATCTCAGGGTGCTACAACACTTAAGAAAGTGGCAAAGGAAATTCTTAATCTTCTGCCATTTTTAAACGGCACAGAGCTATATGAAAATGAGAGCCACGTCCAATGTCATAGAGAATGTCAGCCCAGTATTCTCTACTGAAGCGAAAATTAAAGTTCACGTTTAACAGGTTTTAGTACATTTTGCTAAATCATTTACCAGAAATTACATTCGACCTACTTATAAGATTCCAATGGACATTCATAAGGTTTAAATCTAATTTCTAGCTAGGCGCTTTTTATAAAATCGATGTAGTAGAAATGTTGTGAACAAGTAGATCTTTACACATAATCAAAAAGCTCAGGCTATCGGTAAAAAAAATCCTTACACTTATGAACATTACTTATTAAATTTTATGGTAAAGTAGGGTTTAAGACTCTTTGTTTGACGTTGAATAAATATGGTCCGATGTATAATACACACTTGAAAAGATTGTCATTTACCCATCGAACCGACTAGACCCATAATGTTGCAGTTGGTTACCACGTCACAATCTTGGGGAATTCACATCTTTTGCATCAAGTGATTTATAACTAAAACATAATCTTCTTTAAAGGTAATGTTCGTACGCAAATGGCTATTCAAACGATTTCGCTAAGTAAAGAAAAAAAGCCATTATTCACAAAAATGGCTGAAGTAACTCAAAATCTAAGCCCGTTTTCTTTTAAGTAATCAAAACAGTCAATAGTTAATTATTGTCTGTTCAGCCTTAAAAAAATAAGAAAATTAATACAGCAACGGTTACCTCTATCCTATTACATCAATTTCAATATCAAGAAAGTAAAAGTTGCCTTGCTATATTTATCACATGAAAAAGTAATACAAAGTTTGTCACTAAAATCACTTTGCCGAAAGATGCGCCATCAGGTAGGTCATCTCCTGTAACAAAAAAAAATAGATCAAGACTGATATAGAAAAGCATAGAAGAAATAATTCAATATCCCTATTTGATGATGATGCGGTAAGTTCAAGAGAGAACAAGAAATTTGATTGATTTATATTAAATTTATTAATTTAATGTAACTCTAACTTAGACATAATATATGTACATAAATAAACTAATATATTCTGTACTACATATATACATAGAGGTCCCAAGTCTATCCGTACAATACATAAACATACACACACATAAATATCAAAATACACAGTGGGGTACTTGGAGATCTTGTGCTCTTTTCTTGAACGTAAAGCTGTTAGTGGTCATCCTGATTTTAACTGGGAGTGCATTCCCATGGTGTAATTAACAAACAGTTTTATAAAACACTACAGAAACTACTTTAAAGAACCGATAGCCGTTGATAAATTGTCAACATTAAGAAAATATTATGCAGCTATATTATAAAAGAGTCCACATATAAAAAATAATGCAGTGCAAAAAAAAACTTAAAAATCAAATGCTAATATCTTTCTTCTCCGGCATTCTCAAATGAAAATTGTTTACGTTTTTTTAGAATATATATTCTAAAAAACGTTTTATTTTTATATACGAGTATTTTTCACAACGAGACGCTGCAATTTAATTCCAAATATTTGTTGGTATTGAGACCTGCCAATTAATTGGGAGTAAAACGTTTTACCAAATTAACTGTCTCAATATTAATTTAAATTATAATTAAGTATTCCAAATAAAGCATAGCATATGTTGCCAAAACCTCCTTTCTAAGGAGAGGCCTATGTCCAGCAGTGGACTAGTATAGGCTGTTGATGATGATGATGATGATATGTTTGTACATTCTTTGTTTCAATTAATAATTTGGATACATATTTGAGGTCACAATACTCTATTAAAAATACAAAGATTATAACTCTATATGTGTATGTGTATGTATGTGTGGTAAAGAGAATATTTAAAATAAGATCCATACTCTCTATTTCAATTTAAAAAGAAAACGTTGTTTGCATGAATCTTCTATTTTCGCAAGACCAATATGAGAATGTAAGTAATATATATTTACCGAAATCACTTTCACCGTACATTTCACCTTGGAAGTTTGAGCTGATTGCGTTGCTACTTTGTATGATTTGCGGCAAACCTGTCATAATTTAATTTATTTTATTATCCGTATTATAATAAATTGTTGAAGCATTTGTGACCCTAAATTTACTTACCCTTCTTTCTAATAGTCTGATTGTCTAAAATAGGTTTTTGAGTTGTAGTAAAAGCAGAAGGCGGGGCTGGTATTTCTGTAATGAAAAATAATATGTTATAAGAGACTCAAGGTTCTATTTTAATATTGAGCTATAATCAAACTAATGTAGAAAGAACTCAAGAAATGCCCAGTAAAATTGATTTAAACTTAATTTAATTTATGATATTTGAGTATACACTATTTGGCACCACTTTCATAAAGTGATTCCAAGTTTTTAATTGTTATAAACGATTAAGACCATCTTGATTTTCTGAATAACTTACAAGTGTCATAGAAACCAAAAATGATGCATCTTATTCTGGAGAAATCGGGAGGCACTGGTAGCATGTTTAATAAATAACACTAAAAGCATCATTTATCTCGACACTGTAAAGTTATAACAAATTCAATTTTACAGCAGCCTTACATCTGTTTTCTTATTAGGTCTTGACTATATCACACCCTCAGTAACATAACATTTGACGATTTTTGAAAAATAAGCTGGAACGTAGGAATCCAGAATCTCAAAAAACTCCTTTTTGGTAGTATATCTTTATTTTACTAAGAGTGAGATATATTTTATTGATACCAATGTAGCATCAAATTCACATTACTAAGCATAGGTTTAAATTGCTAAAGACATTCAACACAGGATGATTTTGACGCTAAAAGCAGTTTAGTACTTTGCACTAAGTAAAAAAAGTAGAAAAAGCTTTACCGATAATTGACAGGCCGTTTTGTGTGATTTTCCCACACTTTCAAATTCCCAAAGATCGTAAAAAGGCTGTTTGTTTTTACGAGTCTTTCAACGGTTTCAATCGCTCCCTCCAACGGGAACCATTTTAAATCAATCTACTAATATTGAAAAATTACCATCGAGTTTGATGATTCCATCTGTTTCGCCCAGAGAGTTTTTTGCGATGCATTTGTAGAATCCAAAGTCTTCTTTGGTGATATTCTTAATTTTGAGCATCATGAACTTGTTGTAGCCGCTATCCATCGGGAATGCCTCGTACTTGCCTCCTATAATTTCCATTTCTACTTAAATAAAATACCTGTATTTATAAGCGTAAATATCATACTAATATCAGGTTTACAGGTTTATACCAATGAATGATTTTATATATCAAGCGAAGCATATAACAGCTATATTATTTCACGTTGATTATTCATGAATAACGTAAAATAATATAGCTTGGATTAGATAGTAAAGACTTCAACAGTTTTTAATATGTAATACCAGCTCAGTAAGTTTTAAAACTTTACACAAGCTTACATTCCGTGTCAAGTTCTTAAGTCCTCTTAAAAATAATTACACTTATTCGAATCAGTGTGCATTCATCGCTCATCTTTTCTTAAAAGCTGGGTAGTAGTGTTATTTAAATCAATTGTGTGAATCGATTCCCTTGTTTCACTAAGTAAAATAAATGTGATACATAAGTGGCAAGTTAAGCGTTCATCGTCTTTTATTACTGTCGGTCAAACAAGTCGATGACAGACAGACAATGTCTTCATGGTTATTACCTGGACAAATTCTGCAATAGCTAATAAATTGAGATCTATAAAAAAACAGTGAACCAAGTAATGGGACACCCTTGCCCTAATTTATTACAGTAATATTAGCAGGAAAACCGGTAGAAAGTATGGTTGTTATGACACTTGGGGATCTTATAAGAAAGGTAAAGTTAGAATCCGCAAATACATTATTAGGGTTTTGTTAGTCGAATATAAAAATAAATTGTTAAACTTATTTTTTTACCCTAAAGTAAGCGTTTAGAGGTGTGTGTGCATGTGTATTGCTTATAAAAATAAATTAGAACACAGACACGCTAAGGCAATGACCCATGTTGACAATCGAAAAGCTTATAGCTTTATATAAGCTACTATTTACTGCTAGTCAATTAAATTCCGCTCTCATAGGCTTTTTAAAAAGTAATAAATACTGAATAGTAACATGTAGTATAATCACAAGCGATAAAAGCTCAAGGTTGTTTTTTTTTAACCAATATTAACGCTCAAAAATCGAAATGTATGTATCTTCCGATATAAGTTTGTTTTATTTATCTAGTAAACTACTCATTTCATTATTCTCCATAGGAAAGCTCATCATATGTACTAATATTGATCAAATAAGACTTTTCCGCATTTAGACTCAAGAATAGTCCTTTTGCGTATGAATCCCAATCTAATAAATATACACACCCACGTAACAAGTTCAAAATAGAGTAAAAAGTTAAAAATATAAATTGATATTTTAAACAATATACTCGTAATACTTTATTGTTTAAATTAAACATCAAATTTAATAGACCTACATGTATGTACACTTATGGATATTGCAGTGCTCACCTTTAATTTAAAAGCATACACATATATATATATATATATATAAATATATATATATATATATATATACTTGTATGAATGTTTTGCTGTGAAATATCTAGTATGTATTTTAGTTGGTAAGCCTTGTGTTAAAATAAATACATAAACAACAGTTATTTAAAGATAATCTAAATCGTTGTAATATCTGAGTAGATATCTGAAATCATATAATCATAATTATCAAAGACAAAGGTTAAATGTAAATTGACGAATTTTATGGTGAAATGGATTTGTGTCCCAAAATAAAATACGGGAACTCACTACTTTATTTAAAAAAAAACTGTTGTTTTTCTATTGTAAAACAAGCATCCTTAATGGGCTATAAACTTGTACGACAAAAAATATAGTAGATATTTTAGCCAATAAACGTATCACTCGAGCTTTACCTGCCTGTTTTAATTAAGATACATTTTAACGTAATGGCTTGTTTGATATAAAGTTCAATATACTGTTAAATCATCTAATGGCAGTTAACACAGTTTTGAAGTATTCTGTTTAGCTTTAGCAAATTAATGCTGCTTGGCATTATACCATCCGTGTATTGTCTCAAGTGTAGTGTAGGTGCTAGCTCCGCTATTTAAATTGTAATGTATTTTTATATCTTAGGAAAAGATAAGTTTAAGAATAGTAAAATCTTGAAATTGAAATAAACACCACGTTTATTTTATTTTATTTCTTTCTTTCAAATTCTTTCATTTTATTCATGCTACGTTTGTTTGGGCAAAAGTCAACATATTTATGAGATGTGTGATGATCTTTAGGACGGACTGTAAACATTATTTTTTTTATTAAAAATATTATCTTTATTTCTGATAATATATTCACCGATTCAATGTAGCACTCAACTTGAAATGCAAACAATAACCCTGCTTTGCTGGCCTTGGCATAAAATACACGGAACAAAAATAATCTATGAAAAAGTTTCCGATTCAATGTTGCTATTCAAGTTATTTATCAATTGTTCTATTCACCCAAAGTGGATATTGTGAAGTATTTCATTATACAAGTATTCTCTATTTGCGCATGAATAAGTACATTCGGCACGTATTCGACGATACCTCGTTCGTTTGCTCCGATACAAGAGAAACTATTTTCATTATGGACTCATAAATCAATGATACAATCGAACGATACCTCACTTGACAGGAACGCATGTTATTTATGCGAATATGATAAATATATTTGTGTCGGGTTTAGAGTTCAATAATAATTTGATACTAGCCTGTTTGTATTTAATGGCATTCGTGATGCACTGATCGTGTCTTTAAATAGCGCATTGAAAATTTATTAGACAGATATTCATGTCATAATTGATGATGAATTGTTAGAAACTAGTAATTGTTCTCGGTCTGAAAAAGTTACAGTAATAAATAATTTACCATTTTTAAAGGGTTATCTTCTCGGAAAAGTTAAGACGGAAATAATGAAAAGATTGGTCGATACGACTTTCAATTTACAAGTATTATTGTAAAACAATCCAGTTCATGCCCGTCTTCTTTCTTTGTCGTAATGATTACCGAAGAAGATGCACCTTATTCTTTACCGTGACTTGTGATTATTGCAACTGTACTAAAGTAATGCAGTTGTACTAATATACAACTAGATATGACACGTAACCTGAACTAAGACAATCTAAAGATTGTTATAGTTCAGGTTACGAACATTAATCCCTATGTGAGTAGGTAACCACATTGTAATACTTCATTATCGCTTTATAAGCATTTTGCGTTTTAGAACTCTTTATTAGTTTTCTCAAGATATTGTGAGTCTAGCGTTAACAAACTACGTTTATGGTATGTTTTAGATTAGGATAGTAATCTACTAAATAACATCAAGTTGTCCACTATCTAACGCGTGAGAATAGTGTTGGGAAAAACAAACGTACCATTAAATTAAACGGTTTACAGGTCATTTCAGATGCTTGCGGATCTTGTATCAGTTAGGGTAAAGAAACATGTTTGAAACATGTGATATATTATATACTCCCCCTTCAAAGTTGTATGTACAGATATACTAAACGCCCGTATTTTACAAATTATAACGAAGTTTCATTAGTGTAATAAAGCTTGTTGTAAACAATTAATATTATAATAGTTTAATGAAAGCTCCACTTTTGATTAAATTATTCGTTGAAGAAATTCTTAGCCCATTATTTCACAAAATTACTGTACCGATTTGGTATGTAATTTACAGCAATGAAATTATTTAAACAAGTATATTTTCCCTAACTAATCATAGTGTTAGGTTACACAGTTGACTAATACACTACAAATCTCACCGGAAATAATCATGTCTCCGCGGTCCGTTGTCCAGTAGTTGATGGAAGAGGGGTATGCTTCCGTGTGGCACTCTAGGGTTACATCTTGTCCAATGTACGCCCCCTCTAACTGATTTGGAATAGACAGCATTGGGGGAACTGTTGAAATAATATCGCATGTACTAGATTAATTAAGATTATCAGTAATCATAAAAAATATTATCGAAATTGTCGGTATTCCTAAAACATAAAAGCAAAACGTGATCGTTTTGGAGAAACTAGATGGTTATTAGTTTTAAGCAAAGTAAGGCGCACGAGGCCTCACTTTTATTACATCTTTTCATTTCTCCCAATTAAATAAAAAATATATTTGAGCATTGAGCTAGAAGTTTATTTTCCAAAGTATGTTAAAAACAAAATAAACATATTTCTTTTTGCCACGAGGTAAGGTACCTTCCAACTAAACATTAACATTGACGGATCAATCATAAAACAATTTAGAAGAATACGTAGAAACTTTTTTAACTACTCTTACCTAATTAATGAAATGTCAAGTCACTAAAGTAAGACAATAGGTATTATACCAATTATTTATTATTCAATATTACAGACAAACAGAAAATTTATTTCCTATGTTTCAAAGAAAGTTAACTACAACATTTTTTCTACAAAATTCAGTAGAAGCTTATGTTATCCTCAATGTTTGTCCGGACCAACAGTCTTACAATCATCATACACCTTACGTCATTTGTTTACGTCGATCTCAATCACTATAACATAATTTTCCCATGTGAAATATTACTGTAATTCCGATCCAATTCACACTGTCGTGTCAATAGTAGGTAATTAGATATGTTGTGACATCTACCTACACGTGAGAGTAGAGAAATACTTACACTGAACCATGAGCATGATCCGTTTGCTAATCGAAGGTGGCACACCATTAGACGCTATACACAGGTAAGCTCCCATATGTAATCGAGACACCTTTGTTATTGTCATTGTCTCTCCATCCACTACGCTTACTGTCAACAAAACAAATACGTAAATGTACTTCTTGTTTTTATTACAACGTAATTACTTTTGATCATAGTATAGGAATGAACAGAAAACCTTTGTATAATATGATTTGTACAGATATTGTACTCTTAGTAATACTGAGAGTGTTGACGAATCGTTCAAAACTTTCCGGTATTTTTTCTCACATGTTTTTAACTTATTTCGTTCTACGTTCTGAAGAAGTAAGATAAAGGGAGATGATCTTGCTCGCTCAAATAACAATCAGTTGTAACGGCTTAGTATCAAACGATCTCGTATTTGAAGAAAATAAAACACTTGGCTTGACCACACTTGGCTGGTTTGATTTCTGCAATACTTTAGTTGTTCGAACTAGAAATGTAATTAGTATTTGCGCATAATAATCATATAGTTAGGATGAACACAATGCTACACACAGTAACTGACGCATACAATGTAAATCTCACTAGTAAACACTTGGTATACAATACATTTCGGTCTATCGTCGTTATCTTGCTCTTTCGTTTTTGTCTAGCAATATAACCTAGAGACTGCAGTCTTGGATTCTAAATTTTCTTCAAATTAATGTCGCTTTGGTAATGGTAATATAATTGGTAGTTAAACGCTCTTTTAACACGCAAATCTGTTTACCTACGAGTATCGGTCATATTTGTGTAATTATTTTTGTATTGGATGAAGGGCGTTTTAAGTAGGTATTGGTACTTGTATTACTTATTGTTATCACGCTGCGATACTTAAGAGAGAAGCAATTACTATAAACGCTATTAAAACTATAGCGAACATTATTCGTTTTATGATTTTTGTATAGGAAATAGTTCCGTTATCATACTAATGACACTATATTTTTAATTTTCAAATTACCAGCTGAAGTACTTTTTCTGAAATCTTTCGATATTTTAGATCAGATGTGGCGTATAATGATGATGAAAAAATGATTCAAGAAGTTTCCATTGTGCAATTTTAAGTCTATCCCAATAGTACATTCATTACTTAATCAGTCAATGTCAATGGGTATTGAGATAAATCTCTACGCTTGTCCTCGAGATCCCGTATACGTGGGCCTCCGCGAAATCGACTCAAATGGATGTTTTTTACAAGCTTACATTTGTTAAGCTGACCCTCTGTTGTGATCTCAACAAGCGAGCTCATTATTGTTTCTAACCCTAATTTAAATAAAGGATGAAAACTACAAAGTAACCAATTTATTTACGTCAATATTTACAAGCTTAAGGTTTCAGTTGAATTGATATAAATTTACAGAAGAGTATTACGATAGTAAAAATTTGTTGGATGGATGAAAAAAATATTTGAACGAAACAGAAACACCCGTAAGTGTAACATACTAACTACACCAATTTATTTCCGGGTATACTACTTAATGTAAAACAAAGTGTATCACTTAATGGATCTAGCGTTTCTTTTGTTAAATGTAGACATATGAGTCATTTCTTTAAAATATAATATGGTACAAGTGTGTCCTTTCTACCCATTCATTTTTATTTCATTTAGTTTAGAATATAAATAGTTGAAACAAAAGTAAACCGCTATTAGCGTAGGAATTATGGTTAACGACTTTCCAAACCAATTAAATGAGTTTTAATGTGTTTCAAATGATAGTTGTGAAGTTTTGGTTTGAAATTTAATAAAAGGACAATTTCAGCGTTAGTTTGAGTTCCCTTTAATTTGAACTCTATTAATAAAAACTTCCAATAGTCCGTCTGGGTTTTATCCTCCCTTCTCTACAGTGATTTAGCAATAATAATAATAATAATTTTTATTAGAGTAACCATGGCTCATTGCTTGTTAGTAATACATAAAACGTATCCTATGTTAGTAGTAGTATTTACAATAATTCATTTATGCACTACATAAAAGACGGCGGTGCAGTGACCCATGTACTGTTATCTAACTTCTCTGCAATCACAGCTAGTATGCTGTTAGAGCTAGCCCGCACCCTGCGCACCAAAGATGCACACCGTTTTCGCATAATGGTGTGAAAGTAGTCGACTCGCGCTTCTGCGAACATCCATTATGCACTATAGAAGCGAGGTAGCCCCAACAGTACCCTAAATGCGTTGTTGTATTGGATACGGAGGGAGTTGTATGCTTTTCGAGTATATGTTGCCCACACGCTGCACGTACAGAAAGACGTCCAGTAGGCTCTGAAGAATGTGATGTTAACATTATTCGAACAATGTGTAAACCAGCGGGTCAACATGTTCGCTCTCACCGACAACCGTTCCCTTTCGTTCCTTATAGTCTCTGAGGCTAGGAGTTAAAATGCAATAGTTTTCTCTTCGGCATTTGTAGCAAAAGCACATATAAAATAGGCATACTTTTTTTTAAATATTTTTTTCCTATTTACAAGATCAACTATTTTTGAATTATTTTTAACCAAATACATGTGTTTCTATTGGTTTCTATTCAAATCATTTGGTTTAATTCTAATACTATGATAAAATTATTAACAAACAGTATATAATGTTTATAAAACTCTAGTTTGATTTGAACTAATATTTTTATAATGAAAAGGCTTCAAAAGGCTAATGATTTATCTTACCCGATTCACCGTTATAATTAAAATCTTGTCCGTCCTCTCGCCTCCACATTACGTATGGCTCTGGATATCCGGCACCGCGACACACCAAGGTCACGTCAGCGCCCTCCCGTACTACCATATCCGTAGACGTCATGTTATCAATGATTGATGGAGGTACTGTGTCAAGCAACATATTGTACATACATTTTATGAGGAACTATATTCATTAACTTAATTATAATGTGCACAGAAAATACATTACAATAAAGCAACTGTATACTGACAAAGTTTTTAATCTCAATTTTTAATATTTTTCCTTTATTTAAAAAAATTAAAGAATAATAAAATATAATATATAAAAGTGTTTGTCCCATACTTTCCCACTCGTTAAAATAATATTTAATTTGTATGCAACAAATTGTTTGTAAACCTAGGAATTATTACACCTATTTTTATAAGCACCTTTTTTTTTTATCCGTGCGGAAATCCCCTCGGATACCACCTGTCGGTGGCATGTCGGACTCGAACCGACTAAAACCGCACGCCGTCTCGGGTACTAATAGCCGGGGAACCAGGTATAAGCTAGAAAGGAAGTCCCTGGTGCCCCGACATACCTCGGGCCATCTACAACAACAGGTAGACGACCATGGGGTTCCCACAGGGGGGGGGCCGTGTGGGAACCCCATGTTCCCTCTGCTCCCTGGAAGCGAACGCGCTACGCAACAAGCGCGCGCCGCCACCCCGGCCTGCTTCTGCTAGGGTGACAGATGGCCTCACCTGTCACCCCCAGGCCTGCGCTTATGGAGGACGGAGGTCGTTCTGCGACCTCCGGCGCCTGAGTCACCTGCGGTACCTGGCCCGTTCCCGGGCCTGGCGGGCCGGGAGAGTCCTAAACCTCTCCCGGCCGCACGATAGCCGCAATCAGGCTATCGAGCGAGAGATCTCCCACTCCGATGGCCGCCACGAGTTCTCGCCTCTGCTCAACCCACGCCGGGCACTCTGCCAGCGTGTGGAGAGCCGTGTCCACGGCCTGGCCATCGTAGTGGTGGCACTCAGGCGTTGGCTCCTTGCGGATCAGACACAGGTGATCCCCGAAACATCCTTTCCCAGTGATCACCTGCGTCAGTCGGTATGAGAGGGTCCCGTGACTCCTCTCGAGCCAATCCTCCATAACGGGTCTTACCGCTGCGATGACGGCGTGCCCGACTTTTATAAGCACCTGAAAAGCAGAGCATGTGAACCTTTTCTAGATATTTCATAGAATACAATAGTTGATAAATGCATTACATTTACTTAATGGTTTATATAATGTATTGTTTTACTAAGTGTATTATTATTAACACAATAGAACATACTCAAACTTTTAATAAACTAAACAAAATAAACTAAAATTGAAAGTAATAAGCATTGTAAGCAATCCTCAAAGGCCAGCGTAAATCATTTTTATCAAGATTATGTAATAAAAATAAATGTATGTTACGTGATCCACAATTTTAAGCGCAGCATCAATTTTAGGAAATCTATGGGTTTCATAGACTTCTTTCTCGACTCTATAAAAGCTAAATAAATACCACTTTTTGTTCATTTCAACTATATTACTGGGTATCTATCTTTAGTCCCTGTAAATCTTCTTATGTTAAATAATCTGGGAATTCTCAGAATGGAATACACTTCGAAAGAAACCCGCTTGTAGGAGAATGAACGATGATAGAAAGAAACGATAATACCACTATATTGGTATATCTTGAATACAAACATGTATGATCAACTAATACAGAAAATTGCAGATAAAATCAAGCTTCTTGCTTCTGGCTTGATGTAAGGTCTGGCACGTTTGAGGAGAGTGTATATTCGTATAATAATAAATAAACAAAATGCACCTGGTATCATTACCATGAAAATTCTCTTCAGGTGTATCATATTACATTTATTTTTCATCACATCAGATTTACTATAGACATTCAAATATTTCATACTAACCGACAACTTGAAGATATCCCTTTCTGGAGCGCATTGGATCTGTGTTGACCTGGCACATGTACCATCCACGGTCTACTTCTGACACGTTCTTGATGTGTAAGTACCACGATCGATGATCGTTATACGATAAACTTATGCGAGAGTTCTGAGTAATAATGTTGTGATGTATACTCAGTATTGTCTGTTTATCCATACTAACCCATGCTACCTACAAAAACAGATTCGTTTTTATTGATTCTTATGTCTACAGTTTGAATTAATACATACATTATGTCTCGAAACGAAGCCATTTTTTAGGTCTATTTCACTAAGCTTTTACGTGGGCGCCCTTTTGTATTTCATAAGTTGGATTACAAGATTTGTGATTAATTCTATAAATAAAAATAATCTTATATGATAGGTAAATTTGATTGTTGAATACAATTATGTCGAGAGACCCTGTAGGGCTTCATTTGAATAAATGTAGACATAAAATTCAATATATATATCATGAGTTCATCACATTTAAAGTATCAAAAAGTAGCCAATGTAGTTCATATATAGTAAGTAGGGGTGTATGTATCTGAACTAACGGTTATATCTTATTTACCTTGAAACCTCTCAGGTTATCGACTACGCACGCAAGCAGTGCGTCCCGTCCAACCGTCACTGTTACATTTGGGATTGGCTCGGCAAATCTCGGGTACATGGATTCTGAAAACAAATCGTCCAATAAATATTCTCGTATAATGAATAGTAAACATGTTTACTTGTTATAAAACTTTTAGAGCAGAGGAGTAAAAAGAGTCACAAATAATATGACGACTGGTGCCGTCGTGTCTACGTTTGCCGTAGTGCCAGCTTTCACGTCGTCGGAATAGTTCCCAAGTTTCATAAAATTAACGGACAGTTTTATGTGCTTTTATCGTAGGTAATATGAACGTATAATTCACTTAGCAATGTAATTTTAAGAGTATGTAAATATTTAAGCATTGTAATTTAGACAGGCAAAAAATTTGTTTATATCTAAATAACTAAATTGTAAAAAAAATAACTAATAACTGACTAAATTTCTAATAATGTTTCCGCTCGTGAATTTCTTTCGGTTTCGTTTGATACAGTTATTTTTGCCCTATACATAAATGGACACACACACATTAAATATTTACTATTCATCTATCGAGAAAGAATACATATAAATTACTTTCAATAAATCTCTTAATAGCAAAAAAATACCTATTCTAACTTTGCCATAAGCTTTTATCCTTGATAAGATAATTGAATAAATAAATCAGGTTATAATACCAGTACATATATAATACCATAGATTGGATCAAGTTTGATTAAGTGTGCTCTTATAGTTCTAAGAATACATATTTCTTTAAGTCTCAAGGTCTTCTAGTTATGTGTGTTATGTGTCAAGTATGCGAAGGTGGGCGTATAACACGCCACTGTCTATCCCTTCAGGGATATAAACGTGAGTATATGTATGTATATATTTAATATATACGTTTCTTTTTTATTAACTAAAAAATATTACAATATCATTTTTTTTTATGTGAGAGTGGGCAGACGAGCAGACAGGTCACCTGGAAAGTCACCATCGCCGCCTATGAACGTCTGCAACTCAGAGTCACGGCCGGCCTACGTTGTCGCCCTTTTAGGAAGGAGTACGCTCTTTTCTTGAAGGTCGTATCGGTCCGGAAATACCGCAGACGATAACCCGTTCCACAGATTGGTTTTGCGAGGCAAAACGTGTCTCGAAAAGCGCACAGTAGTAGAGCACCAACTAACCAGGTGGTGAGGATGACAATTTTGCTGTGTGTAACAATGGCGGAAAGTTGCGGCCGGTATTAGTCCGAGCAATTCCTCGGAGCACTCTCCTTGATATATGCAAAGTGAAGTAACATGTCTACGTAACGCAAAGGGATCGAGCCGATCGGAGATGTTTGGGCTATCTATGTCAAAACCGACAGTATTGTAGCTAGTTCTCAAGCCGCCTTCCCGTTGTAAATTTAAGTATGCTGTCCATTATTCCATAGGTTCCATAGGTATAATTACATTTGAAGTGTGCTTTTAATCTATTGCTTTCAATCTTTTTTACTGCTAGTGGTTTCAGCAGCACCGGGAATATATCACCGTATTACTTTCTTCGCCAGGATTAGTAGCATAAATACCGGACAGCGGCGGACACATGGCGACCCTAGCCGTAGGGTAACGTGATTTATACACGACCCACCAACGACAAATAGCGGTTTGTCGCTGTATCGCTCTTTTACCGACAAAATAATGTATAAGAACCACGATGCTAAAAAACATCAATCTAAAGCGTCGCCTCTAAAAAGTGAGCGGGACCAAAAGGGTTTGCGAGAGTACGTATTCATGTCATTTGTTAGAATGTTATTTGGTGTATTAGGTAAGTAGCTAATATCAAAGTAAACACTGACTTTTACCGTACCGTATCGTGGCATGGTACTTCTATGTCCAAAATTTTCACGTTTTGCAATAAACTCCGTTTAGCTTCAGGACTAACTTTTTCTATATGCTCGAGTTTTGGCGGCTGTTACTTTTATACAAAATACCTGTTAAAATAACATTAGAAATAATATTAAAAAAATAATATTAGGCTATTTTTCTTTGAACAAGTTAAGGCATTATTTTTCTGTGATTGATGAGCTTGTGAAGCATACTGAGTGAGTATGAGATCAATGTGTTGAGTGGGTGTAAGTTCAAATAACTTGTAAGTAAAAGAATTACTTGCTTTGTAATGATATTAATGAATGAAACTATTTGTCTTTTTACGAAGGATTACTATAAATAAATAAAAAATAGTGAGATGGCGGCCCATCTGAATTATTACTCTTAAACTTTTAATCAACCATGAGCAATATAGTGCCGCACCAGCTTATACTAGTATGTGTTAATCTTGCACCGGTCGATCATGCATAAACACTGCTCTTAGCAATCATCATTTAAATATTTTAATAAATTAGACTTTCTTTTTAAGTATTAAAATCACGGTTATGTTGTGTAATCTTGACAGGTATTCTTCAAAGAATTGGTCTCGTGGCTAGTGATTCTGATTACTGAGCCCAAGGTCGAGGGTGCGATTCCCACACAGTATAAATAAATAATTGTATGATGAGCATGATAAATTGTTCTATCTGTTAGTGTTGTATATAATATTAAACTATTTAGCAATTTATAATTATCATTTTCAGTAGTCTGGTTACTACATTCAGTCTGCCTCATTTAGGATTAGACAGCTGTATGTGGGTGTGTCAAGTTATTGTTATTATTATTTCAAAAAGAGTGTTGTTAATTTGAATAATTAATTTGAGCCCTATTTTTGCAGACTATAGAATTGTAAACTGTATCAATCGATAGACTAATTATATTGAATTTGTTAAATATGTGGAGGAACGGATGTCATGTCCCTCCAACAGGGAGGATCTTCCGACCAGGCGAGGTGATCATGCCTGGCGGGCTGCGGCCCATCGTTGATGTTGGGAAGTTGTATATATGCTACTCGTCGAGAGAATTGTTCATATCGCGGTATAGGATTAGCAGTTACTCCTTAGTCGTCTTCGTTAGATGGCGCTGTAGTAGGTTTCTTCGCTGTATGTGGAAGTCGGCGCAAATCAAAAACAAATAAACCAAATAATGTTATAAATAGAAATTCTTTAAACAGAAAATTAAGTTATTTAATATATGTAATGAAATGAATGACATTTCATTAATTTGAATTTGCTGCGCTTCGCGTATCTATGTTGTCTGTGGAAGATGGTAGAGGGCGAATCGAAGTGACATGTGAACTATGATTCAATGGCGGATGTCGCTTAGATTATTTTGTGCATTTTATTGTTATAAAAACTTGTAGAGAGATAAACCGAAGAACACGATTGAGGAAGCGATATTAGTGAACTTTAAATGTTGTTTCTTTGTATTTTCAGGTGAGATAGAAGTGTATTTGTCATAACTTGATAATTGTTGTAACATTGTAAAGGCGTGTTAAATAAAACAAAACTTTGTATTTTCAGAGAAACAATTTATGGTTTTTTTACTGTATATATATAAAAACATAGAATATTTTGCCCAAGTATTAGGCCAAAACCTCCATTCTAAGCAGAGGCCTATGTATGTAATACAACCTACTATTAAAGGCTGTTGATGATGGTGATGGTACTCACAGAAAACCTGTGTCAAGGGTTTTTTTTCTAGCTTTTCACTGAGAGAGTGTGGTTACCGGGAAGAGGAGAGGGAAGAGGACTTAAAGGGCGGCTGCGCACTTGTGACTTTTTGAGTTGCCTATGTACGGTCGTACCTAATTATTTATTCAAAACTTAATGCACATGTGGCGGACTTAATGCCATGGGGCATTTTCTCCCAGTCAACCTTTAGGTAGTAGAAATATGATGAAAATATGTTCTGTTCTTTTAAAACTAAATGAGAGACAGTCAGAGTGAGAGTCGCGACGGGGGCTTAACGACGTAGTGGTTGGTCACAGTTTCTATCCATTGAAATAAAACACAGTTATTAATAATAATAATCTTAATTGTAACAATAAGTGGATTACAAACATTATACAGACCTGATTCCCAAACTAGCGCGAGCTGTGTGTATGGAGTCAGTTCCTTCTCAAAGACAAGGTGAACAAATAGGTAATTTAGTTAAGTAAGTAATTAGATATGTTTGTGTGTGGGTGTGGGTATATATTTGCGAGGGTGTGTGTGTGTGTGTGTGTGGTATTTTGAGGCTGGGAGAGAGGGTATGTATGTGTGTGTGGTGTGAGTGAGAGTATGTGTGACATTATTCAAGTTTACATCTGTTTATATTTATTATTTTTTACATATGTGTGAATTAAATTTTCATCTGATGTTTAAAATAAAAGTAATATTAACAAAATTATATCAATCACATTAAGATCTCAGTGTCTTTAGAGGTTGATGTATTTATGTTACAAAACATGATTAATTACGTAAATGTAATGCACAAGGCATGCACATGTTAAATGATTATTGCAATTCTTGTGATAATATGTTATCAAGGTAAGTTTTAAAGTCAATTATAGGAATATGGCGCTGTTTTCGCCGAAATCACGTCCTAGTGGCCAAGTTAACTAACAATGCGCTGGCCTGATCTGATTAAAATAAACCATGCGTTTTACATCTATTTTAGAAATTGCTAGCAACTTGGAGTAAAGTACCTAAATTAGCCATACGCTATCTTTTCTTCTTACTCGTATAATAACAAGATGGGTATTTCGTAGGTTACATTGTTTTTTTGTCTGTATGATCTTACTTAATATTTGATGTTATACACAAATTTTCTAAACTACCTCTTTAACATTAACGTGTTACATTTTAAAATACCGACTATTTTAAATGTATGTAATGTAAAAAAAACTCTAGTCATGTAATTGTTTCGTCTGTATTTAGTTAAATTAATAAATCCTTGAAACAGGGAATCAGGTTCAATGACTTTTGAATACTTGAATTTCAAGTGCTATAAATAGAAAAACTCATTATAATTATTTACAAGTTAAATATATTACCTTACCATTGAAAGTGTTATGTTATTCAGATATAAAGAATCTCATATTGTGCCCGTTATAACCACATTATATCAGCTAACATACCTGTTGGTGTTCGACTAAATAATTGAATCAAATTAAATTATAAAAATTGGAAAAAATAATAATTTAAACCATGTTATTTGATACGATAAAACATAGTCATTACGTTTATAAAGAAATGATCATAAAACAGTTTTAATGCCATTCATATACAGTAAACATACACTTATAAACCATCTATACATTTCTTTGTCTAAGTATAGCATAACTATTTGATTATTAACTGGTTATTTATGTGATATATCTTAATTTTAATCTTTCGTAATTGAAATTGAAATTAATCATGAAAGTTTTGATTTAATTGGAACGAAGTTCCTTATTGCGCGTTTCACACTGAGCGGCTCGGAGCTACACGAATGTGTAACGAGACTTTTGTCCGACACTTCAGTTGGCACGTCGACGCTCACATCTTTTTCATATTTCATATATGGCAAACGTCTACCAAAAAGCGAAAATAACTTCGTTCCGACCGGGGGTCAATAGACCCCTCACGCCTTTTTCATATATACTTTACTCTTTATAGTTTATGTTATTTGATCAGTGTTAAAACTTTACATATTGTGTGTAATAAGTAGAAACAATAGTTGCCCTCGGTTTTCATACTTTAATTTATCCTTTAATGTAATATATATTTTTACTTAAAAAGCTATATCGATTTTAAGCATTGAATGAATTAAAGATAGTTAGATGGTTGTATTTCGCACCCGACAAACCATAACATTGAAATAAAAATAGATTTCATTAATTAGATGTGGCAATATTATATAGTATATAAACTTTGTAGCAGATAACGATTGGAAAACCCAACGGTTAAAGTTTGTAAACACACTTCTTGTTGTCGTCCATATTTAGTAATATTGTTAATAACTGTTTAACTCCTCAGTAGTATGGGTTTTCCTCTTTTGTAGGAAATTGTATTATTCAAAGTTTCCTTATAAGTCATGTTAATTCAAAGAAAACAAATTAGACATGGTCGGATAGTCTCACAGTAACGTAGCTACAGATCCCAAGAAATAAGACAACATTAGCAGGTACATTACACTTAAAAGCATTCGCAAAATCTCAAGGCATTTAGACGTCATTACTACCATCGTGAAGACTGTTTACTTCTATTATTTATGGTAGCAGAATATTTACATTTTATCTGCAATTAAATGTTCGCGTTAAATACAGCCTGAAGTAAAGTGAAACTTTTAAACGGAAAGCTTGGAAAGATGATAATAATATTTAATTTCACCAAATGAACTATGCAGTTATCGAAATAATTTGCATGGTGGATCTATCTAGGAACACAAAAACGAATTATATTAATAAAATTGCTTTGTAGGATGATATTTTATATACCTACATGATTGATTTTGGTAATGTTTGTGTACGTACCTACTACGTCGGTCTCATTTTACTTTCTGTTTAACTATTTACACTACATTGTATTGTTTATTATTACTTATTTATTTTCTAAAGAAAAGTATTATATATTGTATAGTTTAGAAGGGTTGGAGAGTGGTTACTATGAGGCAATAAACAACTTAACATTTTGAATGTCTAAAATTATAAAGTGTAATTACGGCTCTTTATCCTTTGGAAACCTTTGCGGGTAATCAAAAGTGATTCAAAGCTCAGCCATGTTCAATAATATATCTTGCTTTGAAAGAAAATCAAACACCGTTTGTGATATTCATCCTTTTCTATCTATTCCTTAACGTTTCTCAATATGAGAAGGCCTTTACAATAGCAAGTCAATAGTTTATTTTCATAAAATAAAATAAACTGAATCACTTACCATCGGGTAGCTCTATAGGTGCTACAGACACTACGTTTTGCCCCGTGGGTAATTCCCGACCTGAAATTAGAACATGATTGTAATATTAGGCTTGTTGCAGACTATATCGTAGGTTAAAAAAATGTAAAATAGTAATTACAAAAGGTTAGCCGAGAAATTTTAAGCTGCGAAAACAGCCACTGCAACACAGAAGCTCTTTTATTTTAATAGTATCCTCTGATAGCCGCTGTACACTGGTGTTATAATTATATTTGCCGAAGCAACCAAAGCTACTACTAACTGGGGTTAAGCGGTTACCAGTACATTCTGGCGCGACAACATAGCTGTGTGTTTAATTTGTTTCTCAAAGGAGAGTTACTTTAAAAAATATTATTAACAAGTATACATGCAAATATTCAGTGTTAGTTTCCATAGTTGACAACTTTATCTAAATAAGTTTCAATACCATTTGTATGAAATTTCACACGTTACTTTTTAAGTAGGTACATTCTACAAGTTGGTCGACTTAGTACTAATAGTTTTCTTTTTACTTCGTGGTCAAATATAGTACAATGTTAGTGTTTAACAAAAACGATTTTGAAGCTTATTAACTCAATCGGTAAATCGTTTTTACACAACTGTGATATTTTTGAAATATCTACCAAACGTTGCTCGAAACTCTTATAACATTGAATCGGTAGCGGTTTTTTAGGTGTACGGGAGGTACCTTAAAGATTTTAATTTTGGTAAATTAAAATCTTTAAGAGAGTCGACGTGATACATTTTAACATGTGTATCGATCAATTAATGCATTGGTATTGGTTTACTTCATGATATGATCGAATGAAATTAGTTAAAATTATTGCATTGTTCAAGTCTATTCTTCAGACCCGATTAAACATGGATTAGAATCGGTACTACTAGTATTCATTGTAGGGAAAGGCAATATTACTTTTCTTACAATGGTTATCTGTATACGAGTAATATCAATTCAGTTAGGATGTCTTAGGTATCTCTTGCGATTTATCCAAGGCTTCCGATTGTATTGTTCTGATTAAACAATTATTTTGGATATAATTTCTTTTTATTGCAGTAACAGGGTTCAGTCGGGCAATTAAAAAAAAAACATTTTTACTTTACATATTATTCTCTGTATGCTTGCGTCAATTGAGTTAGTATAAATGTTAGTTCTTTTTATTTAAACATATTTACACCAATTCGTTTACTTTGAAAGTGGTCCAATTTTAAAAACGTACATAAGGCTTCAAGCCTTATGATACATATAAACACTAGTCTATGTACTAAAGTGCAATGTACTTGTAGGTATTACACTTTCAAAGAAACGGTTTTTTCGATGCGCTTCGTTAACCGGAGACTGCGCTTAGGACCATGTTGAATTAATAGACTAGACAAAAAGACATTTTGTATTGTACTACTCGGTAAAAGTTAAGCTGAAGCTTTACGTAAAACACGTATGCCTCTAATCTTTTACCGTATATCCTAAAGAATCTTTTTCCTTGACGACAGACACCACAATTCCTCATTCTCATTTCAGCATTCGAACCCGCAATCAAATGATGTAAAAGGGTTTTCGTACCCCCTTAAAATTAATTGTATTAATGTAACTGTTGTTAAATATTATTGACCAAAAGATTTTAAAGAAAAATTACACTGGTTAGCGACAGTTCTTTCTCTCGGTTCTTTTGTATTCACTAATAATTACTCTCAGGTATTTTATTTTACTGAGACATATCTAAGGAGCAATGAACAGTCATCGCCGACGATGCATTCATTTTAATGTGTTGGTGTTTTCATCGTGCAAATAAATATTTTTGTTAACTAAACTTGAAACAGTTTAAAGTAATAAGTATTAACATTTCAATTTACACAAACTTTATCTATTTAATAACAGTCAAGATGTTTTTACGAGCTACTTACGTATCAATTTGTTAGGTACGTTTATCTATCTCTCATAAATAGTTTGATTTTTTCTAATTTTTTCTAATTTTTTTTTTCTGTATGTTTAATTTCTTTTTTCTTTTTTTTTCTTTTTGTAATTAGGTAACTGTTGAAAATTTATGTCGAAGGGAATACATATACCAAACTTTTAATGGCATATAAAATAAAAGACGAAAATCTAAAATCGTTTTATACTTTTGTTCGTATGTCCTACCGTAAGTCATTAGTTTATTAAATTAGGTAGATTCACCACTATTTTGCTGATCATACATGTCTTGAAAAAGTTAAAACGAGGTCTGGTATTTCGGTCTATCACTATACAAAAACTACTTTTTTCTGTAAGTATGGTACTCTACGTGATTTTCTGGATCTCGAAGTAACTCAATTATAGCTATCTGAGAATTACCGACTGTTGCTAGTTACAGATATGCGTCCGTAACCTGATCAAGCTATTACCTACCAATATGGAACAACAGTACTGCAAAGAGAAAGATAACTTGGCACAAACCCTTTTTTTTTTTTTTTTTTTTTTTTTTAACGTGTGGAAATCCCCTCGGACCGTCACCCCACCGGGGTTTGCGGCGGGGTGGTGTGTCGGACTCGAACCGACTAAAACCACACGGTGTGCCCTCTTTGCGCTTCCAGTTTAGGAGGGGTCCAGGTAGTTATTGCCTTCTGGACCCCTCCCAGTGCCGGCCCGCTCCTGGTGCGGGCTCCGCCTCAAAATTTTAACCTCTCTTTATGCGACGTCCGGCACACGTGGACGCCGCCCCCTTGCGGCTGGCCAAACTAATGCGGGTGGAGGGGAAACCCACCCCGTCCACCCGCGGCCACACTCAGGGCGGCATGAGGCGCAGGTAAGCGCGCCTCCGCCGCCCGGTTCGCCGGCGGCGGATCAGGTCCGAGTGGAGGTCGTCCTCCCGGGCCTTCTCCGCCGCCTCCTTCTGCGAGATTACCTCCTCGCAGAAGGTTGCGACCGCGATTAAAACAACTGTCGCTACCGGCCATGGAGCGAATTACGGCCGGTAGCGAGAGATCTGCTCCGATGACTGCAGTGAGGGCCCGGCGCTGCGTCGCCCATGCGGGGCAGACCGCCAGCGTGTGCTGGGCCGAGTCCTCACTGCAGTCGCAGTGGTGGCAGGCGGGACTCAGTTCCCTCCTAGCGACCGAGTGCAGGTACTTTCCGAAGCAACCGTGCCCGGAAAGCACCTGCGTCAGCCGGAAGGAAAGGGCCCCGTGCTGCCGCCCTGCCCACTCGGCTATGACCGGCTGGAGAGCCTCCACGGCGGCGAAGCCAGCGCGTGGAGTCTCCAGCCGGAACGACCATCTAACCATGGTGGCTCGGCGAGCGGCTTCGCGCCACTCGCGCACGTCTTCGGGCGGAGGGCGAAATCCGCTCTCCGCCCGGAAGTCAGCCACTCGCCGATAAACTTCGGCGAGCACTTCCGCCTCCAAATCCCACGGGGGTGTTCCGGCCAAGGCGCAAGCCGCCTCGGTGGACACCGTGCGGTATCCGCGTATGGCTCTGACCGCCAATATCCTCTGGGGGCGCCAGAGGCGCGCCCTATTCGGGGCGGTCAGAGCCGCCACCCACACCGGTGCACCATAAAGCGCCATGGACCGGACAACCCCCGCGTACAGCCGCCTCGTGGGAACACTGGCCCCGCCCAAATTGGGCAAAAGTCGCCCTAGGGCGGAGGCAGTGTCCACCAGCTTCGGACCAAGCTGTCGGAAGTGCTCGTCGAAGAGCCACCTACCGTCTAGGACCAGACCCAGGTACCTCATCTGGGCCCGGACCGGTACGAGGACCGAGCCGACCTCGATTGAGGCGCCGGCGGGTGGACCACGACGGGGCGCATGAAATAATAGGGCCTCCGTCTTATCCAGGGCCACCCGTAATCCCAACGCCTCAATGCGCCCGACCACCTGGGAAACTCCCGTGGCGGCCAGGCGCGCCGCCTCCTGGAAGTTAGCCCCCCGGGCCGTGACTAAAGTGTCATCTGCGTAGCAGAGTACACCCAGCCCGGGGGGGAGACGCCCTCGTAGGGCCCAGTCGTATCCAATGTTCCACAGGAGTGGTCCTAGGACAGACCCCTGCGGAACACCGCACGACATGGCCCTGCGTCTCAAGACGCCATCTCGGTCCTCGTACATGACGGTTCGCTCCTCAAGGTAGTCTGCCACCAGCCGCCTCAGGTACTCCGGCACTCCGTGCGCTTCCCTGATGCAGCTGAATGGCAGACTATTGAAGGCGTTGGCGATGTCCAAGGACACCGCCAACACCACTCCGCCGCAGCTCACGGCCTCCTCGGTCACGGCCCTAAGGCGCATTACGGCATCGATCGTCGAACGCCCCGCTCGGAAACCGAATTGGGCGTCCGACAGATCGGGGCCAACCTCGCAAAGGTGCCGGACGATGCGGGCAGAAAGCACCCTCTCAAAAAGTTTACCCGCCTCGTCCAGCAACACGATAGGCCTATAGGCCGCGACCGATTCGGCAGGCCGTCCCGGCTTCTGCAGCAGGACCAGCTTCCCGCATTTCCAGCGCTCAGGGAAGCGTCCGGACGCCAGGCTAGCGTCCAACACCCCCCTGAGGTGGTCCGACATGTAGTCGAGGGCTCGGGCCATCACTCGGGCTGGAACCCCGTCCGGCCCGGGGGCAGTGTTCTTGGATCTAATCCGTAGAACAGCCGCCCCCTAACTCCGATTCCCTGACGGGCGGAACATCAGCCTCGCTGCCCCCGTCGTCTCCGGCTGATGCAGCCATCGACGGGGGTGTGTGCTCCGCCCGCTGCGGGAATAGGCCCTCGACCACTTCCTGCAGGAAGCTGGGCTGGAGAGTCTCCGTAAGGGGGGGGCCCGACGTGCGGAGCTTTTGACGCACCGCACGATAAGGGCGACCCCAGGGGTCACGCTCGAGACTCTCCAGCATCTGATCTCTACTGACATCCTTGGCGCGGCAGATGGCCAGCCTCAGAGTTTTCCGAGCTTCTCGGTACTCCTCATGAAACCGGTCCACCTCCTCACCGACCCCGCGGTGACGTCGCCGACTACGGGTGAGGGACCTCCGGGCACGTACACAGGCCGCACGGAGGTCCGCCAACTCCTGGGACCACCAGTAG